GCCATAGATTCATGACTTGACTGACAGATGTGAAAATGTAAAGTTCAGGTCCTGTGCTTAAACCTGAGGGAGCGCTTTGGAAACGGCCACTTTAAGGACATGAGACCTGCAGCCAGTTTCAGTGTCTTTGTTCATGTCTTTAATCCGAGTGTTGATAACGTCCTCTAACCCGCTGCATGTGTGGTACCCGACCAAGTATCACGACCAACGTGACGACGAGGTGAGCAAGAGGGGTGGGGCTAGACGACACCCGGAAATAGAACGTCCTTGGCAGAGTTCGACAAGCTTTTCCTCCGTCTCATATTTCGATCAGCACTAAATTCATAGTTCTTCTTTTGCTTCTCCATGTTGTTTTTTACGCTCTTGACTCTTGCACATGCAGATCACTCTGTGCTCTCATTGGTCAGAGTCACTGACAACACATTATGTACAGCAGACAAAAAATGTACATGTTAGACTTTCTGTCGGGAGGTCGTCAGGCCTCCAAGATGCTCACTGATCGTTCACTACAACACACTATAAGAGATAAAAACCATCGGTTGTCAGGGCCGACTGGTCCAACGTCTGACGGATCGGGCTGCAATCGTGTTTGTGACGTGTAATCTGACCCCGACATTAGACCACTTTAAGTACCAATCATTCCTAAACGATTGGTTTAACCCATTTTTATTTAGGATTGTTTTATTGATTGATTTGGTTTGTTCAGGCTCCGTTTTCAGAGGAACTGCATATTGCCAGTTTACACGACAGTGGAGACATCACCTTATCAAAACTTTACATCCTGGAACCCGTTTTCAGGCACCAAAACGCAACAACAGGTTACCGTTTTGGGATGAAATTGTGTTAACAGGGCCTACATTTGTTTATCATACAGCTGCTAACTCTCGAGGCTGTGCTCATTTGTTAACCACCCTGCTCTGATTGTGCTCTCTCTCTATCTGCAGGTGGTACATTGCATCCTACGACTCTGTGTTTTCACAATACGGACGTAACAGGAGGTCAGGAGGTCAACTTGGTGGAAGTCCAATCAGAAAAACCACAGAGCAGAGGAAACCGAAATCTGCATTCACACAGAGACGCTCAAACCTCTACGTTTTAGATGGAAAAAATCTGCACATGTGGTGCCCCGTTTTTTTTTTTTTCTCTCTTCTGTCTTGTTGAGGTCTTTTGCAAGATGTCAAATTTGCAAATCTGGAAAGTAATGAAAGCTCTTAATTAGTTTGAAATACATACATATGAATAAATCCAGTTCACAGAATATACGGAGCAGCCTGCAGGGTTTTGGCAGCAGAACGTTAATCCAAACAGCAGCTGAAATGTTCTGGTGTTCTTTACACTTCACTCTCAGCTCACATAATGAGTGACAACAGTGTGAGAAAACCTCAAACACTGCACATGTATCAGGTGCTTATTTAAGAGTTACGCTTTATATGAAAATATGACATTAATTTGCTATAAGCTATCGTTTACCTCGACCAGGATCACGTTAAATTTGGATTGTTTTCCTTTCAAAATGCTTCTTAATTTCTTTGGAGAGGAGTCAGAAACCAACAGGGTGTGAACGTGTGTTTCCCAGAAACATTCGATTAGTAACTTGTTCATGACTCAGAGCTGCAGAGCGCTGATGAAAAACAACATGATTTATAATTCATTATGACAAAAAGAACAAAGGGGAGTTAGACACAGAGCCACATGTGTCCCTATTCTGTCTATAAACCCCCCAATGATGAGAAAAGTCCATCCTCTCCGTCTTCTGTCTGCTCCACTTTTCGGAAAATGTGTGCTCAAACAGGCTGTTTGGAGATTTTCCCTTCATGACATCACAAAGAGCAGTAGCCCCTCCCCCAGGTGGGTGACACTCCCACAGCTAGGTGTTTGTTCTGCCCTCTGAGTCTGCCTTCTCACCGTAAACAATAGAACATGGAGCGAGAAAGACCGAGACACCCAAGTCCTTCCAGAGAGGGGGGCGTGGTCAGACACAGCTCATTTACATATTTAAAGGTACAGAGACAGAAACAGTCTGTTCTGAGCAGGGCTGAAATAGAGGGGTTTATAGGCATAAATCCAATGCTTGATCCAAAGGCAACTGGACTCTGTGGAAGATCTTGAAGACGTTTCGCCTCTCTTCAGCTGGACTCTGAAGAGCGTCTTCAGTTCAAAAGTATGCGTAATGTAAAAATCCTAAATACCTCTAAACTCCTGAAGTTGAGCGTCCTTTCTTGTTGACGATGTTTCCTCCCTTCTTAAAGCCGCTATCGCTCATTTCAGCTGTGTTTCCATTCCGCTCCAAACATCTGTAAGCCACATCCCTGTGACTTGATTGGCTGTTCGTCGCCTTTTTCCTTTTTCTTCTTCTCTTTAATGTCTTGTGGTCTCGAATGTTTAAGGCACTTTAGCCCCCCCCCCCCGTTCCCAGTGTTTGGTTGGTGTAACTACAGGTTTAAATCTTTAAAACTTTTATCGAACATTTGTGATTTTTCTATTGAGAAAACTATATCAT